ATCCCAGGACTCCGGGATCATGACCTGAGCTGAAGGCAAGCGCTCAACTAGCTGAGCCACCCAGACACCCCTCTTGTTTTGTTTTTTAATTTTAGTTTTCCCTTGGCTGTTTAAGGGAATAATGTAGCAGTTTATCAGGAAATCCCTGAGTCTTGTCAACTCTGAGAGGAGCTCATACGGGGGCCCCTCCTTTGAAGGTACATATGGGGATGCCTGTAAGATCATAGACTTGGTTGACTTTGTTCACGGTCATGTAAAGTTACTTCAGAGAGAGGATAACTAGAATGAGCACTCAGATAAAGGAGGATGGGGAAGCAGCAAGGGATTGCCTCAGTTCTATAGCCTTTTGTTTTAGGTACCTCTTTTGTTTTTAATTTTTCATTAGTCTTTTACAATAAATATTTTAGTGGAGCTCTTTTGCCATTTTGAAACCATTTGGAGGCTTCTGCATACCAATTAAAATTATGTATCACATTCTGTTTGTTTAATTTGGGAATCCTTACTTTTAACTGCATTTCTTAAATGAGCTGATATAATTGGAACATTACTCAAAATGGCCACTGTAATTCTAGCTTGTCGTTAGTACGATTTTGCCATTTTTGTAGATATTTATAGCTTTTGGGACCAACAGTTCTTAGACATAAAATAAGCAAGTGTGCCAGATGGTGGCACAGTTCACTCTTCAGAAATTAAGGATCCTATCTTTATCTTTATTATTATTTATCATTTATTTTTTAGCTTGGCCTTTGAGTTTCTCAGAGCCAGATTAATACCTAAGAGGGATATGCTGTGGGGTTGGGGTTGTGTGGTGTCTCCTGCTACACCTCATCATACAGAATTTTTCTTGAGGTTGGCAGGTGACCTAGTGTCAACCCTAAGGGTTCTGTGACTAGCTCGTCCTTACTCAGGTGTCTTTGGGCTAAGTGGTGAGCACTCTTAACAGCTTTTAAATGCTTGACTCGTGCTTACCAATTTTTGTGGCTTCTTTGGCCTCCCCAATTCCCATGAGCAGTTCACCTTTCCATCATGTGCACATTCGCAGCAACCAGTAGTAGTATCTGAGGAACCAAACCTGTGGACATCAGCTGTAACCAAAGAACTGGGGGCAGGGGAAAGTGTTGAGCCAGCAAACCTCAAAGAATGGGGCCTGTAGACTGATTCCAAACAAATGAGAACTGCACCTGCTCCCGACAGACATGGAATCTGGGGAAGGATTCCCAGGGGAGAACGGCAGACTAAAACGCCGGCACTTCCCAGTGTGGAATCTGAGAACAGAACCGAAATTCCGGGTTTGGAAGTTTCTGTGGAATGGCCAGTAGAAGGCCCTGTGTGCACTACCAGCAGTCCCTGTGGAGCCTTGGGCTGGGGAAAGGGTTGAACCAGCAGACCCCAGCAGTTGGGGGTTGCAGATTGGGGTCTCCCCATGGTGCAGAACTGCACACTGCTTCCAACATTTCCCACATTGACCTTGGGATGAGATTAGGGGCTGGGGTTTTCCACTTAAAAAGCCTGGAATTGTGGACTGAAGAGGCAGTTAGTTCGAGGGCTTGATACAGAGAGCAGAGCACAGAACCAAGAGAGAACTTATCCATGGCACTCAGACATGGTGAGCGAGACCATGAACTCAGAGTGTTTGTGGGGTACCATGCCCATGTTTCTCATTTTCCCTGGAGTCATCGGAAGTCTCCTTCAATCCCACCGCTGCCACCAAATCTGTTAAATAACAAAAAGACAACTGAGTACATTTAAAGATCAAATTGGCTTTATTCAGCACCTCATGAATGGGGCAGCTTCCCATCTAGCAAATAGTGTAGAAAGGAACTTCATTGAGCAGCAGAAAAGGAAAGGTTTTTAAAGGCAGAGAGGGAGAGGAAAAAGGAAATTATTCCCCCAAACTGCATTGTTTTAAGCAAGGTGACCTTCCTAGGGGGGAACAGAAAGGGTCTATCAGCAGATTATCTCCTGATGCTGACAGGAAGTTCCATATTGCCTGGTTGAAGACCCCGTTGCTGGCCAAAGCTGAAGAAGTGGTTAGGATAGGTCTTAGGTCTGGGTGGGGTTTAGCACACGTGACTCCATTCTGGGCCTACTGTCTCCTTTTTAATGGGGGTTAAGTGGTTAAATAAATGAACATTCCAACAATTCACAGGAAAGTACTGATGGTAAACATTTGGAAAAGATTTTCAAGCTTGCCAATCATTATTTCTAACCTAAAACAGTAAGGAAATTATATTTTCTATACATCAGGCTCAAAAGTGAGGAAAAAAATTAAAAGTCCAAAAATCACTGGCCCAGCTTCTGGGGTTTACCCTCAGCAGACTGGTCACAGAGGTCAGGTGCTGGTCAGACTGGCCGCAGCGTTAAGTCCTGGTGGCTGGTGGGTGACTTGAGGCAAGTTGTTTGACCTCTCCAGGCCTCAGATTCCTCATCCAGAAAATGGAGACATCAGGAGCTATTTCACGGGGCTGTTGGGGCCTGGTGCACATTCAGGTGTGTAATTTGTATCACCTGGGAGCACAAGTCACCACAGGTGTCATCGTGAATCAGCACAGCTCAGTTGGAGAGGAACTTGGCGATACATAGCAAAAGCTATTTAAAAGGCTATAAAATTTCACTCCTGAAGTTAAGGAACTATGTCAAAAGGAGAACATGTTAATTTTAGATGTATATAGCATCACTTCTTACAATGGGAAGGAATTGGAAATGAAGTTACATGAAAAAAGCAGAAACAACGGTGGAAAATATTTAACCATGTATCCCTAACCCCAATGAAGCTCTGCGTTGGTTGGATGTGGCCTGGACGTTATAATTATCATGTGTTAAACCGTTGCTTCGTTTCAGATTCTGCGCCAACCACATTACGTATATTATCAACCGTAGCCTTCCCAACAGTCCTATGAAGTACACACTATTAGAATTTGAGATACTGTGATTTATATGAAGAAATATATATTTGGTCTTCATTCCCGTTTCTTGCACAGGACTGCTAAACCCCTTGGAATTTCCTCAGTGAGGAGAGCGGCCAAGGTGTCTTTGTTATGTTCATGAGGTGATCTTTGCAAGGCACCTAAGGATGGGGCTGGTCGCCAGGAGAACTGACCCTGTGATTACAGGGTTGGAACTCAGTCCCACAACCAGCTTCTGCGGAGGAGGGAGGGACTGGGGGTTGAATCAGGCACTAATGACCAATGATTTAATCAATTGCCCATGTAATGAAGCCTCCATAAAAACTCAAAGGATGGGGTTCAGAGAGCTTCTGGGTTGGTGAACAATTGGAGATCTGGGGAGAGTAGTGGCCTGGGAGAGGACATGGCAGCTCTGCGCCCTTTCCCCTTATCTTGCCTTACGCATCTCTTCCATCTGGCTGTTCCTGAGCTTTATCATTTTATAATATACCAGTAGTCTACCAGTAAAATGTTTCTCTGAGTTCTCTGAGCCGCTCTAGCAAATTAATCGAAACTGAGGAGGGGATTGTGGGAACCTCCAGTCTCTAACTGGTCGGTGGTAACCTGCACTGGTGACTGGCTTCTGAAGGTGGTGGCGGACCTGTGGGACTCTTGAGGGACTGAGCCCCTGTCTGTGGGATCTTACACTGTCTCCAGGTGGAGAGTGTCAGAACTGAGTTGAATTGTAGGATGCCCAGCTGGTGATGTGGGAACCTTCGCCCCACAATAGAAATTGAGTGCAGAACCTCTAGACTCTTAATTTATTGGTGAGGAAACTGAGACAGGGTGGAATTCAAATTCACATTGTTGTAACTTGGAGTCCAGACACTTAACCCGCCATGTTTTATCTCTGGTCCCAAACACTGCTTCTACTAGAAGAAGCTCTTCAGAAGAGTAACAACAGAAAAAGTGATGGGTATAACTTTATTTAGTCTAGAGAGGGAAAAGATTTTCAATAGATTATTCAGAGTTATATATTGTTGGGGTGCCTGGGTGGTGCAGTTGGTTAAGTGTCCGACTCTTGGTTTTGGCTCAGGCCATGATCTCAGAGTCCTGGGATTGAGCCCCTCGTCTGGCTCCCTGCTCAGTGTAGGGTCTGCTTGAGATTCTTTCCCTCTGCCCCTTCCACTCATGCTCTCTCTCTCAGATAAATAAATAAATTAAAAAAAGAGAATTATATATTGTGGGTTTTGTCTTTACAGAGAGCTAAATAAGGGTAAATTCAGGTAAACTTTAAAATGAGGGATTTAGGGGCGCCTGGGTGGCTCAGTTGGTTAAGTGTCTGCCTTCGGCTCGGGTCATGTTCCCAGGGTCCTGGGATCGAGCCCCACATCGGGCTCCTGGCTCAGTGGAGAGCCTGCTTCTCCCTCTCCCTCCACCTCTCTCCCTGCTCATGCTCTCTCTCTGTATTTCAAATGAATAAATAAAATCTTTAAATAAAATAAAATGAGGGATTTAGACTGGCCACGGTGAAGAATTTTCCGGATTAACCAATTAACTGTTCACATGAGTTTCCAGGGAGCCCTGAAGGAAGCTTTCATATTACAAAATAAAAGAGGCTAGATTAGGGGCGCCTAGGTGGCTGAGTCGGTTAAACGTCTGCCTTCGGCTCAGGTCATGATCCCAGCATCCTGGGATTGAGCCCCACGTTGGGCTCCCTGCTCAGTGAGGAATCTGCTTCTCCCTCTTAAAAAAAAAGAGCCTAGATTATTACCTGTCTCATTGTGTTATTAAATAGTTTCTCTTTCCCTCTCTCTCTTTCTTTTCTGGCCTAGAAGCTAGAGGGCAAATTAATTTCTCTTTCATATAATAATATAAATGGGGATGTTGGTCTAAATGAAACATTTTGCTTTCACTTTACCCAATAGTAGTTCTCTTTGTTTGCCTACCAAGTCAACAGGTGAAATTTAGAATGTTCACGGTCGTGGTCTTTAGGTCATCAAAAGAGCATCTAGTAAAGTGGTGAGCTCTAAGCCTAGGGAATTCAAAGCAGTAGGTCTTTCTCCCTTCAGACTGAAGCTCATCCTCTCTTCTTACTTGAAATCTGCTGTGGAAACCAGAAGGAGATTCAGAAGTCAAGCCCAAGTGATATAAGACAGAGCTTCTCAACTTTAAAGGGTGTGCAAATCCCTGTAGAGCCCTGCTGACCGGGCATCCTGGCATCTCCTGAGCCACATTCAGAATGGAGTAACATGGTCCAGGGAAGTTCGGGCTTTGGACCCACACAAACTGGGTTCACACAGTGATTTCACAGAACTCTGGCCGTGCACAATGATCAAATCCTTTTGAGTCTTAATTTCTTCATCTGCAAAATGGAGAAAATACCAGCTCATGAGATTGGCATATTGTCAAATAGAAGATATGTGAAACTAGTAAATTCATTGCCCCTCACACTTTAGCATGTGATGAACATAAACTCCCAAATGGTCCATTTACACACAGGGTGTGAATGGTGTTAACTGAATCCTTGTCTGTAGTAGAGGCAAGTGTGCAAAAGGGCACGTGTGTGTGTGTGTGCGTGCGCACGTGTGCATGGCCGTGCAGTCATGTGGTAAGGGACGAGAGACCGCAGAGCCCCTGAGTGCAGGCCTTTGAGAAGCACGCCTGTGAGACCATTGTTCACACAGGTGCTCTTTGTCTCTAATGTGTCTTCCAGATGCTTTGTCTGTTTTTTAAAAACTTTTTTTCCTAATTCTTACCAGACTTAGATAAAAAAAAGCATGTAGACCTGAAGATGGACCAGGCTTTGCTGCTCATCCACAATGAACTACATGGAACAAACCTGACTGTCTTCTGGAATTCCGAATGCTGCTATCACGTAGGTATTATGTTCATGCTCACAATTTTGTTTGCTTTGGGGCTGTTTGAAATGATCCTTAATGCTCTCATACCTGAAGCCCTTCACATGTTCACTTCAGTTTTATTTTTTATTTTTTTTAAAGATTTTGTTTATTTATTTGAGAGAGAGAGAATGAGAGACAGAGAGCATGAGAGGGAGGAGGGTCAGAGGGAGAAGCAGACTCCCTGCCGAGCAGGGAGCCCG